TAATTAAGTGTTGACTATGTCCTCATAACTTTCCTTCTCGGGTAGAATGAGTGAAGCAGGGAGTTGATCAATCTTCCCCTCAGTTATTTCCATTAGTTCACAGCCTGTGAATCTCTCTGCTGGAAGCTGATGGCTAAGCAGCAACACTTCCTAAAATATTGAGCTCTCATTGGTCAGCGATGTCAGCGGTGAAGGAGGGCAAGAGTCTGACGTCTGGATTAAAGCTTTAATGCTGCAGTAGAAATAGTCAGACATCACCAGTGAGCATAATCAACATATTCATGGCATCATGGCATCCACTGTAAAATATATTTTACTGGCTCTGAAAATGCCTCTAAAATTCTATACTTTTTCCCCCTTAATAATTAAATTAAGTTGAATTATACTTTGCACCCTGCATGATATTCCTAGGTCAACAAGTAAAGGATGAAAACAAACAAACACAGATTTGTCATTTTTATATTTAGATTGTTGGTGTTTTAATTTAGACAATTATGAATTATTTAGTTATGGACTATTTTCATTTTCATCCCTATTTGCTAAGCTAAGCTAATCACATGCTGGTGGTACCTTTATATTCACACATTATGAAACACATACGTGTGGGTATCTGGAGTGCTTGCACACCAAAAGATCTGTAAAATTAGACGACTCAGTTTAAGGATGGCTGCCTTGCTCAGAAAACATGCCATTTAGATTTGATCTCCACAAATGTCTTGAGCACTAACCTTTTCAGTTTTTCTTGCATGACAATCAGAGCCGACTGAGCAGCTTCTTCAGGAGGCTCAGAGTTCCCGGCGGTATGCCAGGTGTATCAGGGAAAGAATAAATACAGGTGTGTTCAGAAAAGACAGTGAGAGAAATGTAAAGGTCACCTCTTATGCAAAATCCAGTATGAATACTTTCCGGATGCACTGTATCTGAGACCTATAATATATTGATGAAAAACAGTATAATAGGGGACCTTTAAGGGCGTTCAGTGTAAAAACCGTTTCAAAAAACATGTCTCGATTGTGTTTAATTGTAATTTGTATAAACATCTTCCTTCAGGTTTCCAAAAAACATCACATTACCGGAAACAATACATTAAATCATAGTCCTCAATAAGAGAGCAAACCATAAAATAGAGCCAAAACATTTGTGATCAACAAAGGGATACATACAGCTAGAACCAATTATTTATCGCTCTGTTTTTGGCTTGATCTCCATCAGATCGTTCAGCTGTAACTGGAGGCCCAGCTCTGACCAGCAGGGGGCAGTGGAGCTTCACTGCGGAGCATCACTGCAGGAGCTGACTGTCTGACATCAGAGGAGGATCATGATTCATCACTCTGTGCTTCACATCGCGTGGGCAGGACAGATCATCTCACCCATCTGTATGCACAGCATGAGCGCCCTGAGGAGCCTCTGTGATGAGAGCAACACTGGCTGAGAGTGTCAGAAAGAAGTCACCCAGGAATCTATAAACACCTCTTGGCTACAAATGAGCTCTATTATGTATTAATCATAATGACAATTTACAAGCTAGTGTAAGAAATAGTTTCCTTTCCAAATCAGATTTTAAGCATTTATAACACCTGCTCGCATGAGATCAACTCAAGATGTATGGTAATACGGTACATTTAACAAATAATTGTACGTTAATAACTGAACATTTAAGGCTTTAACTGACAAATAAGTGGCATTTAAGTGGACAAAATCCACTTAATTTATTATTTGTTTGGTTTAATATTACTAAAATGGTTAAATGCTAACCAGATTAATAATATTTTTAAAAATAAAACCCCATTTGCACTTTTCACACGCTAATACAGTTACTTTGAAAAGCTGTGAATACTTAATGGATTTTTGAACGGTCAGCAGATACATGCAATATGAATAACTTAATACTAACACAGGGGAGCAAGCAAGGGTTTTATTAGAACTACAGTACTACTGTGACTTTGTAGTACATGTTGAGGACTGTTTTATATATGTTTAAACTTTAATATATTCTCATTAATTTTCATTATAATTATTAGTTTTCACAATGAAGTATTGTACTAAACAAATACTTGCTGTTATGACACAAGTCTTGAAGTTTACTTTACACTTTGTTTCCCTCGTAAGGTTATCTCTGAGAAGACTTTTAGAAGGCAAACATCAGTCTTTGGAGAGCGTTATTGAAGATATTCAGCGTGTTCTCCTATTCAGAAGGTATTTCTTCGGCCTGTTAGACTGCACATAGTTACTAAGCTAATTAAAACCTTTAACAGCTAATAAAAAAGCTGTTTTTATTTATAGTGGGTTCATTTTCTTTTTCATTCTTCTCGAGTGAAACAGTACACATATAAAGTATTGATGTCATGGTTTGGTTTCCCCACAGTACCGACTCAGGTACCAAATGCAGGTGAATTTAAACTCAAATCTACTTAAACACTTACCCAGTTGATCTTCATTTAACTAAATATGTGACTTCTTAAACCACTTATCTGCAACAGTGATGATGTAGGCATACTCTAAGAAAGGTAGATTGATCTGTTTGAATAACATTTCAAATGTTGGTTTATAAAAGCCACATTAAGTCCCCTTTGATTGAATGTTATACAACACAGAGGATTAAGAGAGGTCACACAATTGTCTCAGACACACTGAGGAAACGTTAGTGCTGAACCTCGTCTGTTTCCTCTGCTGCTGTGAATTAAAAAAAGTATTTAATTTGTATTTTCCAAAGTTTTATTTTTGGGTCCCATTAGGCTTTATAGACTAGATTTGAGTTAAGTTGCATGTTGTTTTGTATTTATATCAGTGAGTGTAATTTAGAGTTCAGTTTTAGAACTCTTTCAGCCCTCGCCATCCTTCTCGTGTTGGAACAGTGGAACATTTCACTGATTCTCATCTCTCCCTCTCAGTCTGAAGGTGAAAGTTCAAGTACCACTGGGGGCTCCTATAAACAACCCATTGACCCGATGGCTATAATCCAGTTTTAATCACAGTGAGGCCCATACATCACACCCTGCATTTATTCAAGGCTGTCAGGATTATCTGGATTAATTACAGCAAACCTCTTGATAACACTGGAGTCAGAGTTGGGTTTAGGCCAGGGCTAATGAACTCCCTTTCTCCTCTTCTTTATCTCCTCACATTACTGTCAAACGGGTGTTTACGGTCTTACACCATTTCCCCTTTTATTTTTCTCTTCTTCACTTGGCTTAATCCTCTTTGTATTCATTCGTTGTCTCTTTGAAACTGTTGCCTTTGTCTTTGCAACATGTCATGTAATGTCAGAAAGAGAGACTTTAACCCAGATGCTCTTATTATTTGTTAGCCCCTTAAGGGAGGTCAGAGGTCAGGGAGAAGTCACTGTTTGAAGCTTGTGTAAATTCACCACCTTTGACATTTTAGCATGGTAGATGCTCACTGTTATGATGGCATGAATCCCTCTGGTTTTGAAGATGTTTTCTTCTTTTTTTTTAAGACACCAAGAGTAAAACAAACAGTTTAGAGATGAAGGAGAAATAAATACACAGGGACAGAGATCGTAAACATAAAAAGTAGAGCCTGAGTGAGGAAGGGAAGAGTTCACTGGATTCTGACATTTTCCCACACTGCTCGCAGCAAGGCAATCTAAATGAAGAGGTCGAATCCCTGGAGTATAAAGCTCCCCTTGGTTTAGCCCTCCCTGCTCGTCCCCTGACATTAAACTTCCTCTCCTCTGTTAACACCACCCTCTCTTACAACAAACACGTAAACACTGCTGAGGAGACAATAAACAACCCCTTGATTGCTAATAATGTTTAGCTTGTGGTCGTCGAGATGAAACCTGAGCACACCTCTCAGGAGGATCAATCACAATAAAAACTTGCCATTTTGTCTTACAACTAAGCTTAAATCTCTCTATTATTTCAAAATCTAAAGTATATTGCAGATTAGTGTCATTGAGTGCATTCTTTTATCTCAGCAGATGTCTGGTATGAAGCAAGGGATATATGACCATTAGGGGCCCATTCCTCTAACGCCTACTGCAGCCCCCCCCAAAAAAACCTTTCTCTTCACACATGCAACACACGAAAGTTGATCTCTGGACTCAACGGTTGCATTATCTCTGCTTTCACATGCAGCGTCGACAAGAGAAAGGAATCTGTAATCTGGTGGGTCAAGCCCTTGTATAAATACTTCCCACTGTACTCCAGTTGTAAAAATCTGCACTGCTCTCAACATACAGTAGGAAATCCCCTCGGGGCATGAAGTGGTCTGTGTGGACGTCATGAGAAAAACCAAATTTGGTAAAAGATGCAGCTGCCAAAGCTTGAAAAAAATGTGAGCATTAGCAAACTATGTTTGGGAGAATGTCGTGGAGATGTGGTTAACTCTGCTTTACATCCCTAATGATTTCAACAAAGACCTTTTTAACATTTTATTGTGGAAAATGCAAATGTGGTTCTCGTAACTTTGACAAGCGCTCTTTTTTTTAACTTAAAACAGCGGGACAGTGAGCCAGCATAAACAATACCACCTCACTGAAAAAGCTTATTTGAATGAAGCCATCAATATTTGTTATTATTTATCCCTGTGCTTCACCTAATGCGATATGTCTACATGTTTTCTGTGCCTGTGACTGTGTTTTCTGAGCTGTACCTGAACGCAGCACAAGCAGAAGCATAAAGGCCTTTCTGTAGTTTGTCCTGCAGCACACTGTCACTCACTACTCTCATTATGTAGCTGATACTGTATTGGTAATTGTGAAAACTAAATATTTAGAAGATCGGCTTCAGACCAACAGGCTATTCTTCTTTAGTTTTCTCTCAAAAACAATGTTTTAAAACCAAAACAAATCATAACTTTTTTGTTATTATTGAATCAGCTGAGCTAATCAACCATTATTCCCATGTTCCTGGTTGGCAATCACTTGCATACAGTACTTACAGTATATTACACATTTTAACTATTGTTTACTATCTCCTGCTATTCTAGTTTAATGAGATTTTAGAATTGAAAAATGTTCCTCAAAGTTCACGAGATACAGTTTCAGTTGTTTTTTTATTATGAACAGGAGACTCGCCAGTTACGTGGCAGCCGTAGTATTTAAAAAGTTACATTCATGTCTTCAAATCCCCTTTCCCACACTTTGTCATACAAAAGCAGGTAACAAGAAATATATCATGTGAGCTGTTTTCTCCCTCTCTGATAAACTAGGAATACCTTATAGTAGTCGGTAATGACTGCAGTCAGGTCTCTAGAGGTCATATACAACCTTATCAAAAACCTTCATTCAGACCACTTTCATTAATGACATCTGATACAAATCTAATCACACCAATTATTTTAAGAAGCAGAAATGCCAGATTTGCCCCCGTACCACCCACCATGAATAACAAGTGTTTCCACAACTATGCCATGTAAACTTTAAACACTGATCAATATCAACACCTCAGCTTCAACAGCAACACGTGAGAAACAAAACTAAATTGAAAAGCCTTATTAGTTTACAGTCCTTTTATACAACAGAAATCTGTTTTATTACCACAACAAAGGAAAGGCAAAACCTTTTATGGATTGTGTTTGTGTGACTGTTATGTGCCTCTGGTGGAAGACTGGAATAAACCCTATCAATAGAACAAATAAATGCAATAAAGCTGTAATTGATCAGGCCTTACTGGAAAATTATAAATCACCGTCCCTAAAGAGAGAAAACTGTCTTTACATCACTGGAGAAAATGGTCTAGGTTTACAAAAGTATATTTCAATGTTAAAAGCTTTTTACAAGTCAAAACTTTGACCTTAGTGTTGCTTTGAATACACTGTCAAACATACAGCATGTGTGGAATCATTGTATGCTAATGAAATGCAGCACAGTGATCTTCTTCACAGCTTTGCCCACTGAAAGCACAACATCTTAAGACATGAGCGGTGATAGACTGTTCAGCATCAGGGAGGCCACTGGTGAGCTTGTGTCCCAAAATCCATACTACCAAATAACTCTTAGGAGGATTTGAATGTTGTTGGTTCAGACTAGATAAAGCAAAAAGTAAACAATAACCAATCAGTATGCATATAAAAAAACTACTATGTAAGTTTGATGGAACCACAATGCATTGCACAAAAGACATGCAGGCATTTGTTCAACGCTGAACAAAATAGTGGATAGTGGTGAAACCGAAGTGGCCTTTAATGTTTAATGTTGTAGTTTGATATCTGAAGGTGCAAGTATTCTTTCATTTCCTCGTCCTTACATGTTGATTTTGTGGATACAAGTGGCAAAACTGTGTACTTTAAAGTATAGTACACAGTTAAAGTTAGTGTGTTGTATGGAAGTGGGACAAGTGTTACCTTTTTTAAACGGTTGTCAAAACACTGCCAATTTATAAGATAGAGTTTGTGATATTTGTATTATTGTAATTAATTCCAATAGAATATGAAATTGTCCTGACTAGCATAAACCTACTCATTGAGAACCTTTTCTAGTAACATTTGAAACATATAGATTTTCTGTGAAAATAATTGTCTTAGGTTTGAGTGGGACTGCAAGGGTAAAGAAGCAGGAAGGATTGAAGAGACAGGCTAACATGTTGTAGCATTTGGTTTTATGATGGGATTTTTTGAAAGCAAAAAAATGAAGAATAACACCAGATTTATCCTTTAAGACAACCTGGTGAAAAGGTCTTACACCACAGTGTCAGAGGTGGTAAAACAGATCCATACAGTCAGACATGTACCCACTTCTGTTGGTCCCTCATAGATACACGTCCATATGGTCGAGGATCATGTGCCGGCAGAGCGGGCAGTTCTGTTGGTACATGGGCTGCCTCAGCAGGATGTTGGTACAGTCTTTACACAGGCAGAGGTGCCGGCATGGCAGCAGCACCACGGTCTTGGTGCAGTCCTGACAGATCACACACTTCTTCCTCTCCTCCTGCTCCTTCAGCAGAGTCAGCAGATTCTCAGCAGGCAGAGGCTTACTGTCTTTGCCGGAAGCCATTTGCTTCTTAAGTGGTCTGTCTGTGCTGCTGGATGAGGGCAAAACTAAATCCAGCAGCTCCTGGTGGACTCCATCTCCTGCTCTTCCATCCGGCGGGTCCCGCCTCTCCCCTCCAGGGTCTCCGTCGCCGTGCACTCTGTTGTTGTTGTCCCTGCTGAGATGTGTCCTCAGAGCCAGAACCAGGCTTCTAAGTGGAGAAAGCTGCTGCCAAAGTCCTCTCTCCAGCAAGTAGAGGTTGTGGAATATTCTCTGCAAGCGCTCCATGGCAACATGTAATAAATGTGGGGTGCTCCGCAAGGCAAAATTGAGGCGATGGAGAGCCACAGAAAATCTGCGTGAAGCAGGAAATGAGTTGATGCAATCCACTATTCGCACCGCAGCCTGTCGGGTCAGCTCTGGGTTCAGGTAGGCGGTGGTGGTTAGAGCAATAGTAATAGTGAGCAGGAGGCCGTAGATGTTCAATATGAAGATGCTGATAAACATATGCACCAGCGAAACCATAAAGTCCAACAGCAGTTTACAGGGTGACCACAGGAAGGCCGAAGTCCCAACCAGGCTGCTGTACAGGAAGGTGAAGGAGGTCAGCGTGAACTCCAGAACCTTCTGCAGCGGGCTGGAGACCGTCTGCCACACACCGACCAACACCGAGCACACGTTTTGGGTGGCGATGAGTGCAAAGTTGACCATGGTGTTGGTGAAGTAGACCACCAGGCTGACAGCGATGCCGCAGCCCTCCAGCACCGACAGCAGACCTCGACACAGCTGCTCCTTCCCACGGAGCAGGACGTGCATGGACAGGTAGCCCACCATCTTCAAGCTCTCCAGCAGCCCCTCCAGAGCCAGCACCAGGCTCCCCAGCATGGTGACAGTGCTGTGGGCAACGCTGGTCGTCGCCTCTGCCAGGGACACCAAGCAGAAGAAGGTGAAGTGTCCCAGCTCCAGCACCGAGTGGAGTAGCAGGGTGGGAATGCTGTTTATAAAGGTGATGACAGCCATGGCGGTCCGCACCACGGTGTGGACCATGACAAAATTCAGGTCCAGCAGTAAGCAGACGGCTTCCAGGCATTTTACAACCGTGGAGATGATAAAGTCCACCAAACCCATGGTAATGTATCATGAACTCTGAGTTTACCTATCGGTGCTCTCAGGTGGTCCCAACGGCAAAGTCCATGTCCGTTTGTTTGTTTGTTCAGGGAGAGATACTCAGACGTTTTACATCTTGTTCGGTTATCCTGGGTGTCAGAAGAAACAATACGCCATTCCTCGTTCCGTTAAAAAGACGATTGTTACCTTTCTTCCTCGTATTTGTACCGCTGAACCGACGAGCTAACATAGTAAACAACACACGCGTTACAGTGGCGGATGTTTATTTTCAAACGAGTCACACACTTCCGTTGTTTCGCTTTAGCTCTGCGTTCCTAAAATGGTCCAGAAACATGTCACTAGTTACACGGTCATCTTACAAAATATGTAATCCGTGAAAACCGAAGGCAAATTCGGGAGAGTAGAAGAAAATCATCCAAAATGCTTCGGTATGTTTATCGTCTCTACTGTGGCCGCCATGTTTGTTTTGGTCAAGGCAGCTCACCTCTCTACTTCCTTCCTGTGAGATTGAGCAACGTCACACAACCGTTTTTTTGTAACATGATAAATAACGTTTAAATATTTAGATAAAATATATAATACAAATATGCGATTACTTCAAATTAAATAAAAACTACGCATTTTCAGTCATTTATGAAAATGTAAAAATAGTATGTAAATAATAACAATTATAACTGCTAACATACAGTGGTGGAAAAGCTTTTCAGATGTTTTACTTGAGTAAAGATAGACACTGTGAACACACTCAATTTCAGGTAAAGGTACTGCCTCCATTAACATACTAAAGTAAAAGTATAGTACAATTCAAAAATTGTAATTAAATAGAATAGAATAAAATATAATATAATATATCTTCATTGTCATCATACAAAGTATTATGAAAGTTGTAGGAGTAAAAGTACTAATTGCAGAAATACATTTGAAATTGTTCTGAAAATATTTTAAAGCAAAAGCAGCAAATCCTGACATTTAAGAAGCTGAGACTTGGAAATCTTTTTGAAAAGAAAAAAATCCTAAAACCAATTAATGTTCTATTAACCAACGCATGGTTGTAGTTACTTAATATATTGTTGGATAGTTTAATCTAGACCAAATAATCACATTTTAAAAGTTTCTCCCTAAGCATTGTGTGTCAAATCTGAATTGATAAAGTAACTAGTAAATCAATCTGTACAGTAAATGAAGTGGATCAAAAAGTACAACATTGGCTTACAAAATCTGATGGAGAAGTGTATAAAATACTTGCACGTATAGCCCAAATGTGTACTTCAGTAGTTGAGTACATGATGTACTTAGTTACTTTACACCACTGCTAACATATTCCGGCCTTTTTAGTTTTAACAATTTTGCAGAGAGATAAATAGAAATCTATGAATTATTTTCAAATTCAATATCATATCTAATTTTCATCCCTATTACTCATTAATGAAGTTGGACAGTACATTGACAGTAAATGGTTTCTTGAGACATTTAGAGTAATGTTAAAATCAATCAATCAATCAATCAATGTTTATTTATATAGCCCAATATCACAAATGTTACATTTGTCTCAGTGGACTTCACAGTTTGTACAGAATATCAGTATGACAATACGACACCCTCTGTCCTTAGACCCTCACATCGTACAAGGAAAAACTTCCAGAGAAAACCCACAGTTTAAAGGGAAAAATGGGAGAAACCTCAGGGAGAGCAACAGAGGAGGGATCCCTCTCCCAGGACGGACAGACGTGCAATAGATGCCGTGTGCAAATTGAAAACATTTGATATGGGCTCTATCTCCCCCCCTGTTACATTTTCTTTGCTAAATTCTCTCTTACAGATTAGTTGAGTTAGTTTCATTTAATTCAACTGGGTCTCTAGTAAATAGGTTTTATTATCTCACATAATTGTTAGTAAAATATGGAAATTATGTTTTCTCTGTTCCTAGAAACACTGGACATAAGTTCACATTTCAGTGTAAAAGTTAAAGCAACAACTGACACATTTTAACGACGTGATCTTCCATGCCATCACCAGGGTTTTCCAATTTCCCAAATTCATCAACTTTAACATAATGTCGCTCTCCCATTACGTCAACCCCTTTAGCGTCAATTGAACACAAAAGCTTTGCAATCCCGAACAATATCAACAGTATTTCCTTCCTTGCCTTGTGCTTCATCCTCCCCATACGTTGAGGCGTTTCAACACGAGCAAAGGGAAACTCTGATAAGATCATGGGAAATCCTGTTCCAAACCTTCGGACACTTGACAAACAGCATTTGGTTAAGCATTTAATGATACAACAGGGATACGTAGGAGCAATGCAAAAAGCTATAAAAGGCCATCTGCAATACTTTGTATGTAGCAGAGAGCTTCTGGACCGGCTCCTTTTATGGTAGCTGAGCCTCCCTCTGGTCTTTCAGCAGGCCAGTCGTCAGCTTCCTTTGTTTGTTTTCTGGTCAACCAAATCCTTCCTCTCTAGTGACGAGAAGTTACAGACATGCTTTCATCTAAAACCTCCTGCAGCTTTACACACATGTCCCTGCTGGGAATAAAAAGTCTACTTTAGCTCTAAAGTTTTTGACTTTTTTTTGCTCCAATGTATATAAAGTCGTCAACATACATTTTTAGAAATGTGGCCCCATGCTGAGACGATAAGAAGACGATTGAGGCTATTTAGTAAAAACAAGATAACCTTTGAACTTATTACTGGCCAAAACTACCTTAAAATGTGCAGCTTCTAGATTTATCAGTAGTCTTGTTGATGCTTGAATTCACATTTAGTCAGCCGGCAACCTGAGAGCATGACTCCTGCTGAGACACAGATCGGCCTTTTGTCAATGGTGACGAGCCCTGAAATCTTTATTAAACGTAGACCTGAAAGCTCTGGTTTTAAATATGTTGAGTTAAAATAAGCAAATGATTTAAAAGGCCAGGAAATAAACATCAGACAGGGGCACCATGATGGGAAAGAAGAGAAGTTTGGGAAGGATGAAGCAGAGACCTCAAGACAAACCAACCCCTTGACGCGTTTCCTACAAGATGCCGAGGGCCCAGGGATGACTGATTTAAAGCAATTTGGCTTCTCATCCGCTGGGTTCACTTCCACCCTCCAAAGATACTTGAGCATCTGACCCGCCCTTCCACCTCTTTGTCTGCTCTTCCACTCCCAAGAAACAACCTTTTCCCACTTTGAGTCAGCCCTAGATCAATGTATAACTGTACTGAAAGACTGTACTTGTTTTGTTGAATATCTTTCAGTAAAATCTTATCTGCATAAAGTCTTAAAAGTAATCACCACTTTTTGAGCACATGTTTTGGAGAGAACAACTGGCTTCTGGCCATAAATATCAGATATCAGACTTGAACATAGACTTTTACAGAAATAAAACCCCATCACCAGACAAGAGCGCTGATGTTCTGCAAAAGGTTATTGTGTTAATAGAACAGAAAAAATATGGTGACTGACTGAAGGCCAATAATCAAATTTCAAGAAATGTTAAACTTCTTGTTTATTGTTGTGGTTTATGGAGTGTGGTTATGGACGGTTAATAAAAGCATGGAGGGGAAACTTGATTCCTATTTTGTTGGCTTGTGACATTATCAGGAGAAATCCAAGTCATTCTGAGCTGCAAATAGTCTTGCGCATTGCATTCAGATTTCTGAGTTTAATTAGATGTTCAGATATTTTCAGATAACAGTTCAACAAATGATTTATGTTTTTTAATCGAGCAGAATATTCAAAAACTTTAAAAAAATGTCTTTGAATATGTTGGTCAAACTTCTCTATCCCTTGTCTAGTGAGTTAGTGACTTAACAATTTTCACATGGACCATTCTCCCCACGATTTTGAAAATCATCCTTCATTATGGCCGTGACTTCAATTTTCGTGTTGTGTTCCCAGACTTTGTGGTTCATTCTGGGATGTAGAGTTCAGAGCCATCTGATTCCCTGATTACTTTGGCTGCCTGCCAAAAAGCCGAGCTGACATAAATGTATATTAAGAGTACATTTTTGTGTGTAAGGAAGACCAGAAGTTTCTCTGGGAAAACACAATCTCCAAACAGTAGAAATCACTGGAGTGCAGCCTGGTTCAAGACCCAGAGCAGGACCTCGCATTCCTCAGAAAACCTCGGCCTCAAACCCGCTGCCTCCACACGCTGAGGAGGCGAAAGAGAGGGTGAAGAGGATGAGATGGGAAGATGAGGAGTGGGACAAAATGACTAATTTCATTTCATTAAGACACAGTGATGATTTTCCTGGTTTGACTCAGAGAGATATGAATAGATGACTAAGACTGTGGGGGTCCCTCAGCGTGACATTCCTGTTCTTTGAGTGGTCTTCTCAGGACCTTGTCTGAGCATCTGCAGGAAGTCCCTGTGTCTGCAGGCTGTAGTAGCAGCTTCCTGCTCCATGACTCATTATTTCTCAAAAAAAATCTTTGTGAGACCCTTTGTTTGATCATAAACAGCTAACACTGATGTCACAAACGGCAAACTTAACTAAAGCTACATTTATAATGATTTCTAATTATTGATAACATTTAACAGTCCTTTTTCTGAGTCTTGAATCCACAAATATTTACTTAACTATCTTTAAAAAAAAAGGAACGCACAAATGTATTACACACAATCAGCTTGAATGATCAAACATTTGAGTAAAAACAAAACGATGAATTACTCGTCAAAAACTGTTTCAAATGATTTATTTTTGTTTTCTTTAACTAATCCATTATCTGATTAATGTTTTCAGTTTCTAATAAAATAAAGTCTACATGAGTCAAGCTTTAACCATCTAATGTTTACTATTTATTTGTATTTGCTTAAAAATGACTCATTATCCGAGTCATTCAACTACTTTATAAATAAATAAATAAGAAATCTTAAGCTCTTATTATGATTATGATCTTATTATATAAATACATTTCACAAAGCAAAAGAGTATATCAAAGAGATAAACACAGGCTTTAAAGTGGACCTATTATGCTATATTGGAAAAATATATTGTATTTTATTTCCTGCTTTTTAAACACACGCTCTACAGTACAGGTTAGCTCTGAGTGTTAGCGAGGCTTGCCCATGTAAACAAAGACGAGATTACGTCCAAAACACGTCAGGCATTGTTTCTGATAGCAACTTTTTGTGGGTCCGCTGCCGATTTGACGTCATATCGGCAGCAAATCTGTATCCGCTCGTTGTAGCTGCGTGAGTTCCCCGACACACCGGGGACACATATTTATGTATAAAAGACATCAAAAAGTACATTTTGCATGATAGGTGCCCTTTAAATCAAGTAATCAACTAATGGTCTGTTAAATGTTTTTTGTGCAAAACAAAGTTAGTTTTATTGGAAACACTTTGAAATGATCACCCTACCCTGACGAGTTATATCACTTGTTTTGTGTACAATCTTTACATTCGAAACAGAAAGAACTTGATAAACCATGAACTTTATTTAAGTTGCTCTTTAAGTCTCATTAATGAACTGAATTCATT